CCCCAAAACCCCAAAACCCCAAAACCCCAAAACCCCAAAACCCCAAAACCCCTTATTGTTAAAAAATGATTGAATATAAATTAACTCTGAAATAAAATGAAGTTTGCAAAATCATCTAAAGAGAATGTCCTCGAGATGAACTTAAGCAAGATGAACCAGACTAGGAATAACAAAAGACCCATCCACAACGACTCTGTGGAACTAGATGCAGACAATTTTGAAGAATCTTGTCTTACTGAGTTATCTAAGAAGATGCCACCTAGCCGTTATCTCTCTTTCAAGAATTCTGAGAATAATGTCTGATATCTCAGCAAACAGTAAGTAATTCTGGAAGTAATTTACTTTGCATGACCGTGTGTTAACCTTTGAACGGATATTGGTACTTTCTGCCAGAATTCAGCATCAGAACAGGATACTTGAATTTTCACTCAAATTTTATCTAAATTTTTATAGGAAAAGCTCAGATTCTTCTCACAGAAGCAAGATTACTCAGAGCTCTTTCACAGACACGATGCTAGCACACCAGAACAAGATCATTAGGACTAGTCAGAAGTCTAGGAAGGTAGAGTTGAGGTAAAACTTTTAGGGAAAAGTTACTAACCACTTAATGAAGACTAATAGTGAATTAACAGATACAAAGAATTTATTTAAAGAGAACCTACCTCAATGTAAGCTCAAATCCAATGATCTTAAGGATATCATTTTGGTTTCTTCTTATCTGATCATGCTTTAGGCTTATCATTTCAGGAAAGAACCAACAAGTGCACAAAGGTATGTGAACACGAGCTTAAATGTAGCTAAAAACAAAGATGAAATATAAAGATGTATACTCATTAAGAGATGAGATTGAGGCACCTCCTAATATGGATATTGCCTCTTTAGAAGCCACCACAGATATTAACTCTAAAAGACTGAGTAGTAATACGGTCTATGATTACCAGCTCTCAATGTCAGATGTAACTTTTAAACATTATTTTTAGAAGCATAAATTTATGTCAGAGAACAACCCTGAACCGGAATGGGACAAGAAGCGATGCAGCTTATTCATACCTAACACAAAGACATATGTTCTCAGTAAATCTCCGGTAGATGATCAGAGTCGGAACAGTATGCCCCAGAATAAAAATATGTACACAAAGAAGAAATCTCGGTAAATTCATATTCTTATATACAAAGAAAGATGACCTCCAGCTTCAAGAAATCAACTCCAAATACCAAGAAAAAGAGAAAAGCTGATAAGAAAGGCAGGCTTGGGGAGGATTACAGCTCAATGGGTAGTTTCTACACTCCAAGAATCAACAGAAATAAATCCAATGCTTCTGTTTGTATTCCTACTTTTAAGAAGGTAATTTTACTAATCTCAAGTACTAGAGTGCAATAAAATTGACTGAAAGAAAATCTATGTTCCAAGATCAATATAAATATAAAAGCAAGAAGTACAAACAGAAGGAGAAGCTGCAACAAGGTATTTCATAACATTGAGCCATAGACCACAGAATGTTCCAAAAATAAACTGAATCGGAGAAAATCAGAGATTGGTTGTAGCTCCTCTACAACCCTCTTGAAATCTACCAAGGGAGCTACAAAGCCTCTCTTCAAGTTATTTGGAGGTGAAACTCTTAATCAAACTGTTAAGAAAGATAATAAGATTCAAAGCTTGAAACAAAGTTTGAAGAAGAGAGTCATGGAGTATAAGACAATGCATAGTATATGCATTAACCAGAAAGACACTGGGGATAAAATTAACTTGAACAAGTCAATGAGGCCAGGAAGGATAATACCCATCAGTAAGGCAGTCACTAATTGTCCAAACTCGAAACTTTTATGAAAATGTACAAAGTTTAGTGACCTTGAAGCACCTTATATTTATTGAACTAAGAGTTATGTGTGGCTTGCCAATGCATTCTGACATTCCACCCCAGGAAGTTTCAGTATCAGTAACAACAGAGAACTACAAAAATTGATAAAAGCTTATAACAAATGATCAAATATGGAGATAGAGAAAGCGACCGAAGATCAAATTCGGAAGGATATTGTCCGAACATTTTCAAATAACTCAGGGTGTCACTCCATGTACAAGGTCCTATCAGCTTACTCTAACCTTACTAAGATGCAGAATGATCGACTTAAAAAGAAGGAAAGTGAGCCAGTACTAGCTGCATATGAATCTGAGTTAAGACAGTGAGAAGAAACTCCCAGATTCATTAGCAGATCTGATATTTTTAACAATAACGAGAGTTCTGCTCATACCGAAGTACAAGAAAGCTTCTGTGAAATTTCCTTTGAAGACAACACTCAGTATGTCCAAGGGATGAACTTTATTGTCGGAATTCTGTGACACCATCTCAGCCCAGAGCTAGCATTTTGTTTATTCGTCAAGCTAATGAAGGATTATGACCTTGAGGATAATTACACTCCTGGGCTATGAGGATTTACTAAAAAGTCTGAAACATTAACAAATTTAATCAAAATATATCTGCCAGATCTCTATGATTTCTTCGTAAGTTCCTTTAAAATAACTTTTAGGAAAGAAAGAGCATCTTTCTTGAAATGTTCACTGTGGAGCTCATAATGGGCCTCTGAGGGAGCATCCTCCCATTTGACAATCTGGTAAGGTCTTAAAGTTGATAATAAATAGGTTCGATTTTATGACTACTTCCTTTCGTACAAGTGGGACTACTTCTACGGCTTTATCATAATGTTCCTGAAAGAAATCCAAGGTGTGTTAATGAGTAAAGAAGACCCTGCTGAAATAATTCAGATTCTGAAGGAATATACATTCAATAAAACATACAAGCAAGGCCCGAACAACAGAGAGCCTTATCAGGATGGTAAGATGAGCCTATCTTGGTCTCTGATACTTTCAAATGCTCTGGACTGGGTCCGTGATTACAAAGTCTCAAGATAGACCAAATTAATTTAACGGATAAACTTAGGATTTCTCATTTAGTTGACTAAAATTGGGGTTTTGGGGTTTTGGGGTTTTGGGGTTTTGGGG